AAAAAAAAATTAAAAAAATAAGAAAGCAAGGAGCACTGAAAAATAACTATTAATAAATAGGATGTGAGACCGTTCACATGTCCAGGCAGCAGGGAAGCAGTCTCTTAAATCTGTGGGATTGATAGATACATATTCCATCTCAGTACAGATGAAGGGCTGATTGATCAGCTGGTGTTTAAATGCCCCTGAAATGTCTGGCATGGACAGATGCTGAGTAGCAGATGTGGCTGTGGTGGGAGAGCCCACAGGATGCTGAACAAGGATGCCTTTTGTTTGGTGACACACACATCCACAGCTACCAGTGTTGCAGTGAGTGACCTGTCTTCTTACAGCTTGTAAGTCCTGAAATTCCATATTGTTATTGCACCTCTTAAACATTTATATGGTTTTATTACTAATTTGAGGTCCATCCAGTTCAACCAAATTAGAAGTTAAAGCTGAGAAACTTTTTTCGTTATTTACTTAACCTTGCAACAACTTCTTCCAGTTTCGTGTCCCTCACAAAAGTGGAATAACTGGGACCCTTCCTGGGTCAGAGGCCAGGTTCATCTGAGCAGTAACTGGGAGATGTTTTTTGTAAGGGAGCTTCCCCCTCCACATACTTCTCTAATCGAAAAGTACATCAGTACATTGGGTAAAAACTTTGAGCTGTTGTTTTTGTGTATGGAGGAAGGAATCGCATGATGCTTGAGCCTGGTAGATCGATCTTCAAGAAACAAGTATTAGTCTGGGGGTCCTACCCTACCTACCTGGTGGTGTCATTTTTGTGGTCTCTTTTCAAGGCAGTGTCTTGTACAAATGCAATCCGAGTGGCTTCCTGAATTCCTGGTACAAATGCATTGACCGTAACACCTCTCAGGAAGACAGTCTCCAGAAGGGATGCCTTCCGAGTGTTGTGGTTAGAGGCATTCCACATGGGCCTGAATCATACCAGGGATGGTGGAGTACCACTCCACTGACAGCATTTGCACAGACGCTTGGTAGAGTGGCACTTACTTTCTCTATGCAGATAATTTGGCTTTGCATGCAAAAGACATGGGGGCG